CTTGCTGTGAGTATGTGAGGTCTCTAAGAAACATATTTATATATACTGTGGTGAAGTGGGTTCAGTCAGATTTTCTCAGATTGTGAAATTGACCTCCCCTCCGCGAAACATTGATGTTTGAAAACGTGTCCGCAATTATAAGCTACGGATCGCAAATTCAAGTTTTATAAACATGTTTTGTTGTTACTTCGACATGCAGAGCCGTTGCACGTGCGCAGCCGAAGTACTGACACTGAGAGTGAAGAGGAGGAGCCCATGCTACAGCCACCGGTAGGAATAACTGCGCATGATGTTATCATCAACCACGTCTACGACGAGGCAAAGCAGTTTCCCGAAGCGTCGCGAATTGATGCGGTGTCGCAAATCGATGCTTCGTCGGAAATTGGGGCCGGCGGGGGTGTGGCGGCAGTTGCTAATAGTGATGAGTCCGCAAGAGGGGGTAGTGACGCGGGAGGTATAGATGAGGCGCGAAGTAGTCCTGTGTCGCAAATACAGACCACTGACGACAATACATCTTCACGAACAAAGGATAATAGACCTGTGAACACGTCACCAACGAACTCTGGTTCAGGCTCAGTCTCGAAAGCAATTTCGTCGGAAAATTTGAGTCCCAAACCTCAGGACAAGTCAACAGACACAGACGAAGTGTCCAATAATTCAGGCGATGAGAAGCATACACACACCCCCGAAACCGATTCTCTCGCTAAACCCGAATCAGCAACCACGCCGATTTTGGTCGTAAATGAATATCCGGACGCGGATATGACGTCATCTAGTACATCCTCGTCATCTCAGATATCTGGCACCTCAAAGGACTCGAACAGCCATGTCGCAAATTCCCCGGATGTCGCGAATTCGTTGGAGATTGCGGATAACGGAGGCACAAACCATGAGGCAGAGATTGATTCTTGTATGTACTTGCGTACCATTTTAACACCCGTTTACATATCTGGCTAGTGCGTGGGATGGTTCTGCCGTTTGATTTTGTGCCTTATAACATCCCAGCATACAACATTCAACTAAGACTGTTCAAACGGATTATACTTCGGGAATGCCCGAATTCACCTGTCACTTATACCATGACCTACTTTGTGGTTGCAGATCTGAGCCACACGGCCTCTCCAGAGCTTCCAGACGTGTTGGAGGTCTCACCAGAAGAGTCCCAAAATCCCAACGAAGAGTCCCAAAATCTTGACGAAGTGTCCGAAAATCTTGACGAAGTGTCGGAAAAATCCGAAAAAGGGCCCGAAATAGTGGTGGTGCAGGAAAAGCGACTGACGGAAGCCGAGATTGTTGCCCTATTTTCCAACACAGATCTCGCCTCGAGTAGTCCGAAGGAGAGTGCATCACGGACCGGTAGGTGGTGCGCCGGGACGGAGATACGACGTGTTTATTTGTACAAGGATGTATTTTAATCAGTGGTTAGTCCCGCATACTACTATATGCTTGTTTTGGGGTCTAGTGGCAGTATCTGTAGAAAATCATGGTAGTAGACTATATTACACTGTGGTGTGTGGCGGTACAATATGCCGTGCTTATTCGCACATGGATGTATAAGAATCGGTGGTTAGTCCCACATACCGCTATATGCTTGTTTTGGGGTCTAGCGACAGTGTTTGTAGCAAAGAATGGTAGTAGACTATATAACACTGTAGTGTGTGACGGTACAATATGCCGTGTTTATTTGTACAAGGATGTATTTTAATCAGTGGTTAGTCCCACATACTACTATATGCTTGTATTGGGGTCTAGTGACAGTGTTTGTAGCAAAGCATGGTAGTAGACTATATTACACTGTGGTGTGTGGCGGTACAATATGCCGTGTTTATTCGCACAAGGATGTATTAGAATAAGTGGTTAGTCGCTATATGCTTGTTTTGGGGTCTAGTGGCACTAACTGTAGCAAAGCATGGTAGTATACTATAGAACACTGTGGTGTGTGATTTCACAGTTGTACCCCAGTATACATGATAGCTAGTGGTGCATCGGTAGCATCGAGTATAAGTTTTGGCTATTGAAAACTAGTTATAGTACGGCATGAGCCTGTCACTGACTGATAAATGTTTGCCTGTGATGACGCATGTTTTTTATTCCTAGTGCATTGCAAAGTAGGCTGATATATCTCATATTTACCTCTAGAATACGCCTACCTACACATGTTTCCGACTATGGACACCTAAACGTGCACACGACATCATACGAAAGACTATAGAGAATGCAAACCTATGTTCGAATGCTTCACACACAGACACAAATCTCTCGGTAGAAACTGATGGAGGCTCATCCACCAGTTCAACATCGAAGAAGAAGAAGAAGAAGAAGAAGAAGAAGAGACCCTCCCGATCAAACTCAACAGCGAGCCACGACAGTGACAATGGAGACGACAGTAAAAGTACCAAGGGGTCCTCACCGGAGGCACTAGGCTCAGAGACGGTTAAAGATTAAACAGGACGCACGTACTATCTATAGATACTCTTGAAAATAGAGATACAACGAAGCGGATTCGTGGCCAATGTGTGGGACGATCGCATTGATACTTGGCGGAATGTATCAAATCGATTGTGGTTTCTATCACGAGGATAAAACCTGTATTAGGCTAACCGGCTCATCTAGCAGGGTCTCTATCAACTGATTAATTCGCATGCGCGTGCATAGCATAATCACTCTCCTCTGACTCCTCATGTGATCGCTGGTCTGAGAAACCCGAGCTTTCGACCGATATAGCTGTCCAACGTTCGATCGTGGGCGTATGTGAGCTTGTGAGTCGTCTTGCCCATACCTCTCAGCTTCTAACTTGCTTCGATCCATACGTGAGTCATTCCCTCTCCATAGACTCGTGTGCACCCAGCACACGCCAGAGGCACATACGGAGATGCACACAGTCACGTATTGGTCATGTGCGGTCCTGTAACCTTGTTCCGAAATACAGTAAATGGTGTCCGATTCTGGATTTCATAATATATACACAAGCAATATGTTCCCAGCCAACCATAACTAAATTACGTGTTGTTAACAACCTGCATTGGAATATGAGTACACACTGTGGGAAACCGTTTATTGAACGTTTTGTTTCTAAACAGCTTTTGATGCTACCTGCTTATATTGGGTTGGCTAATGTACAGTTTGTATAGTTTCTGGGATGAACAACACTCGTGGTATGGTTCCCCCTACACATCGAGCCTGTTTGCTTCGATGTTCGCACAAAGCATGCTCCGTATAGCCCTAGCTAACATCGTGCCAGGTGACTCTACTGGGTGCATTGCTTATGTGTGTGCGCATCCTATCTCATTCCATCGATCAAGCCGTACACGTGTCATCTATCGTTCCACAACACTATACGCCTGCCCAGCTCAACGCCGTGTCCGTTCTCTAGAATACAAGTACAAAATGTTTTGAAGCAAACGTCGGTGGGAAACGTGGAGTGCTAGTTAAGAAAAAGCGAATCGTAATGTGTACGACCATGTACTATAATATGTTATCGTGTAATTTATCGTGTAATTACTATTGTGCACAACAATGTACTACACTATGTACTATCGTGTACTATTGCTTTCTACCGTGCCCCATCACGTATTTTTTTGGTTATAGTATCCTTTCCTGTACTATCGTGTTCCATAATGTATTTGTTTATTTTTGTGTACTATTATCGTGTACCATCATATGTGTTTTCGAATATCTTTGTGCACTATCGTGCACCGTCATGTATATTCATGTATATCATATCTGTCGTATTGTTATCCAAATTGGACTATCTCCTATGTGGTCCTCCTCTAACACCCAGATCACAAGTCACGGTTGTATTCGACAGCCAAACAAATCCTGTAAAGTTTGACTTTCGTGTGTGCTGCCTGACCCGCTTTTCTCTACTCTGTCTCTTTAGAGGTTAGAAGTGATAACGAGTCTCCTTGTCACTGTGTTTATCGCATGTCATAGCATTGTAAGCCAGCATAGCCTTTCATGTGCACCCTTCTTATTTGATACAACTATCAACTAGCTGCGCGAGGCAACTAGTGTTCGCCACTGAAGCTCACGTGTATGCTTCCTTTGGGCTTTGTTGTTTGCCACAGTCACGTGCCTGCCCTGCTCATGTCCCGACGTTTGTGCGCCATTCTACTCAATACCCTGCTGCACGTAACCGTCTGATGTACATGCGCCTTAGGAACTGCAACATAGTGCCGAATCTCCGCACGCGATAAAATGTTACAAAGGGGACCTCTATATATGCTTGACCAATGGCACTTAGCTATCTACCTGGTGCGTGTAGTTGTAGGTATCGATCGCCAGCTCACTCGCAACAAGCTTGGGCCCTCAATCACGTATCCTGCCATCTCCTCAAAACACTATACTCGCTCCCGTACTCTGCACAGTGCATAGAGTACAACACGCTAATGCACTCACCCACCAGCGCCTGGCACGTATACGTGATACTAAACTGTCTCGTTGCACTATCGTGTACTTGCTTATACAAACATAACATTCGTGCTGGCCTTCCTGATCCGATTCAGTTACCATCTATGTGCGTGTATCTGAAGCCAATGAACACTATTGGCAATATATGATTGTATGCGCCATCAGTCACGTATTGTGCCATGTCTTCAGAACATTGTATTCGCCCCCGTGCTAGATTGTCTGCATAGCGCAGAACCAACCCATGCCGACACCCACAAGCACCTCACATATAGCAGTAGTATCAAACCGACTTCCCACACTATACAGTCTTTGCTGCTTGGCCAACATCATCAGATACTCCATTGTCTCGTCTCTGGGGGGGCGTACGTATACCGTGACGCGATCCTGTACATACTGTAACTTGCGCTGAAGGTCTTGGATTATAGCATTCTTCTGCATACACTGCGTACACTCGCTACATGCACGCATCAACGACTGTCTATGATCTTCTAGGCTTTCGCAACTTTCACCAGAGCCCGGTTCAGCAGTATGTATCCCAACAGTAGTCCCATCTATGGGCAATCCTGACCTCTCCGAAGGTCTGCCAATTGGAATGCTTCCGGATTTAGCACCCAACGTATGCTGTGATTCGTTCATCTTGGTAACCGAGTCCTGACTGTTCAACTCCTTCAACTCCAAACTATCAATAGCACACTCACCACAATCCTCACCTACATCTCGCTTATTCGCCGGTTGCTTCTGTGCTGTCTGTGTTATCTGTGCCACTCCGAGCTCTAATCGTTGTATCTTAGTATTCTTGATCGCCCGCATGTGATTCACCCCCCGCACAATCTGTGACCGATTCCGTGCGAGTTGTTGCGTATATGTACTCACACTAGTCTGCAGTACAACATACTTATCTTCTAACAGCTCGTTGCGAATAAGTGTGAGATGCAAATTTTCTCTGAGAGTGTCAATTTCGTTGCCAAGTGCTTGAATGCGACTCTCTGCCACCGGCACCCGATTGAAATGCTCCTCCCGGGTGTATACTGTATTGGGACTTGTGTGTGAGAGCGATGCTTCCATTATGTTGGTTGTGCGTGTTAACTTGTAAATGCGCTATGTATATATGTGCGTATTGCTTCTACACACGTAATATATATCAGAGGCGAGTATGATACTGGGGCATTCTCTGTTGATCGGATTCGTACATACTACCTCGGTGACTTTTTGTCCATACTACCCTGTTGAATTTTTCACGTATATGTACTAACTCTATCTTGGGCAGTGTGTAGTTGTTGCACACGCATATACATGATATGTTTACCTGATTTTACGTGACTATAGTTAGTTAAGTGAGAATTACATATAGTATTCTCTTGTAATATATGATATAAACACATAGATAAGCGCACATATACTTCTCATATTTAGTAATAAACGTTTAACGTAACCGAAAACGTAAAAACAAAAACCTGCCACTGAAATTAAATACATATGTAGCGCTCTGATCGCCGATCGGCCTCTCTCTAGCTAGTCTAGTGGATAGCCCTCTATAGACTATACAATATCAAAATTTTATCACTAAAAGCTTTAGCTATTAGGTCCCTCAGAACTTTATTTATCCAAATAAATAATAAAGTGAAGCTTTTTATGCCCATTTGAGACCCTGTACATGAATATAAAAAGGCCCAATACAAGAAACACTATGTGATACCAGCAGTAGAAGAGATACGGTTATTGGGGGCTTTTCCCCCCCCCCCGCCCCCTCCCAACAACAATAAAATTTTTTATTTCTTTTTGGAAATCTAGACCGAAACGTCCAAAATTTAAGTTGCACTTTTTCAAAACCATGGGGCGCGCATTCTCAAAAGAAACAAGGGTACGAAAACCCAAAATGAAAATTAATGTAAAAGAAAACGAATAGTCGAACCCTCCCCCACCAACAACAACCTAAAAGAAATTGGAAATCTGGACCCAAACGAACCAAAATTGAAGTTGCAGGTTAACCATCATGGGGCGCGCTTTCGCAAAACAAATAAGGGTACAAAAACCCAAAAATAAAAAGTAATATTTTCCCCTCTTTTCAGAGTTTTTAGTTCCGCACCGACGTCAGCGGTGTTCTATTTCTCTTGACCCTCGCTACTCTTTGTATTTACTTTAGTACAGTACATACTGTAAATACATGAGATGAACTTGCCCAATCGGACAATTGTCCGAAGGACCCAAAAAAATCTTCTCCAATTTGATACCCCGATCGGCGATGGTGCTCTGTTGAAATCAAGAGACGAACAATAAACGTTCTACTTTACTAATTTTTTAAAAACAACACGTCGGATATAGTTTTTAACTTGAAAATCAGAAAATATCATCGGACAACTAGTCACTCAACTCTGGAGTCCAAAGTAAATACATTTGTTCTAAAAATAAATAAAAAAGCAAACCAAAACAGTAAAAGTGAAAACAGTCAAACACATTCTTCTTTGGCGCCCTGGGTGCAGCCGACCGCGGCGTTTTCGTTTTTTCTCTCTCGTAAATTTGGAACAAAAAGCTCCAGCACTGCCATGTGCCAAGATGTACAGTTGTATGGACACAGATTTTTTTGTGCAATTTTTAATTGATCTATAAAGGCACTTGCTCAAAAATCCGGTCTTCGATATTTCATATTTGTTATGAAACTTTGATGCACCCATTCCACCCAACAGTCAACACTGCAACAGTGCAACAGAGACATTTTTAAAACATGCTCATAAAAAATTAAAAGCATGATAAAAAAATTCATCTCTGCTTTTTAAAATTTTATCTTTGAAAGCATAAGCTGGAAAGTCCCTATGTACAACATGTATTCTATATGTATAACAACGGCAAACGCATTTAGATTCTTTTGGTGATTCAATATCACTTAGTATTGAGATAAAATCTCGAAAGAAATTGTGAACTTGATGTTAGATATTCAACACGATATTACACGTCGCTAAATTCAGATACTGACATAATTAACCGAATTTAGAATGTCTTTGATATAAAATTTACACGACACCAACTGATGGATAGTAGAGTGTTGATTGTCAATTATACTTTTGATCGCCTTCTGTAGCCTTCCTTTTTTGCCAATATATCTGTAGTTGACGTCCACGTCGAAGAAAAGCATCTTCGAATTAAATATAGCTATAAACTGTTTTAACTTCAAGGTTTAAAATACTATGTACGAGCAGAGTGGTAGCACTACACATTTAGGCACTGTGGAAACCCCCAAAGGAAAAAAATATTGTACAAGAATCGAACTCGCGGATCAATTTAAGACAGCAGCAGTACCAATGCTAGTGCAATTACTTTCCGTTTCTGTTATCCTAAACGTCACTTAGCGTTGAGGTGGATTTTAAGTGTCGAGGCGGATTATGAGTTGGTAGCGTATCGTTACGCAGTCACGAATCGATATATAAATTTAAAATCAAATATAAATAGACGTGTTCACATGGCAATTGTAGGCATAGATATTGATCAGGGATTTGACACAAAGTAAGAGGCAAGTCAGGACACCGTGGGTAATACTTGTACTTCTTATATACATGTACTGTACGGATAGCTACCACGAGTTGGTACCTCAAGGTTGCTGGCAACGACAAATACATTCGTGAGTACCTGATTCGGACTAAAAGTTGTACGCAATTTAGTCCGTGGATATTTGATGATGCCCATGTGTTATGTAATTGTCTCGGACTAAAGTTGTACGCAATTCAGTCCGTGGAGATTTGATGATGCCCCTGTGTTATGGAGTCGAAGTTCTCGCTTTCTCGCTTTGTGGGTCTGTACAATGGCTATAATCAGTTGGCTTGTAAATATATGACAATTCAGTCTGTCTCACTCCTCAAGTTGCGACCCTAACAATTTCGGAATATTCAATACTTTATCTACCCCTATATTCTATAAATTCATTAGAATATGACATAGCCTAATAAAAATGGGGTGTTTTTTTTAAAAGTTGTCACGAGCTCCTGAGATATTTCAGATTAGCCACAGGCTTGCAGCCCACACTGCCACAGCTGACAGGCGACAGCCTGCCCACAGTCCAAAGGCCAAGTCGCTACATAGTACATAGTCACCACTCATTACTCACCACAAGAAGTCGACAACGGTCTCCCGTGTGTGTGTTGAGGTCCTCGCAGCTCCGGGCTCTCGAGGACCCACCCTTATTATGTACGCAGCACGACTGTATGTATTTACGAATTGTTTCGTTATTGTTTCGGGGTTTGTTTTATATAAAAAACAAAACAAAACAAAACAAAACAATTGTTGATTTTTATTGACATTATTTTTCTCATTTTGTATATGTATTTATTTATAGATTATTATGCAAAACAATAAAAACATTCGACTAAAACTCCGAACTTGATTTTGGTTTTTCATATGTACAAACCAAAAATCTCAAGCAATGAGTCCTATTGACCTGGCCTGCTGCACCCAAACTCTTTGGGGGGGCTGATGTCGGCGACGTGTTGGGGCGACATATAACCAAACGAAATGTACGACGTGTCGTGCGACATTCTGGCAGTGTCGTCGATGTCGGATGCCAACCCAAGAGAACGCAGGCCGCAGCTTTGTGACAAAAATTGAAAATTGAAATACTCTACGGTGTTTATATAGTGCTCCATGGAACAGACTACTCTGGTATCTTTCTCTCTATCAGTCTACATATGAGTCTATGAATATAAGAATCTGTATCGAGACTATTTATATATAGACCAGAGACAAAGAGAGTCTATAGTCTATACTCTATAGTCTATGCTCTATAGTCTATAGTATATAGTCTATACTATTGCATAAATACTGAATTATGAATAGCTTCCTTCAGTCCTTCAGGTGAATATGTAGTGAGTACAGTATTTACTATTGTACTATTTATTAGTATTTACTATTTATTTAGTATTCACAGTAAATATGTACTGGAGACTTGAGACTTGAGAATTCAGAATTGGGAGTCAATATTTTAATTTATTTTTACAATAAAAAACAAATTTTTATGATAGTTATCTATATAAAGAAATATGAATAATAGTTTTATGTTTATAGTTTATCCTTTTTGATTTTTATAAAACAAAACAAAACAAATTCAATGTTGTCGGGAAACAGTATAAAACACCGAAACACAGGGAGTATTTTTTTCTTCTCCAAAAGGTTGTCCCGTTCTGTATGACATATGTCTCACTGTTTGTCCAAATGTTTAGTATGTTTACCAAACCAAATATGTCGCACCGAGCTTTGTGCGACATATGCAGAAATTGAATATCAAGTCCAAATTTTCAATGATGCGGAGAGCCTGACTCCAAATCTCTTCAGATTCGGATTCCAGATTGAACTTTTTGTTTCGTTTTGGTATGTTTTTAAGAAAACAGTGTTTATATAATGTTTTGCTTTGTTTTTGTTTCTTTCAGGGTGCCAGAGTCCAGACTGCCGGGCTGGCATGGTCCGTTCTGATTTCTGAACTTCTGATTCTCTCTGGTGGATAGATATACTCCATATATTATCTAAATAAAACTATTCGAATCTATTAGTCTATTTTAATTGGACAGAACAATCGGTTTCTTGACAATTGTTTCCTCGAGTATCTCGAGAGTCGAGAGTGGCATTTCAAATTAAAGTTTTCATGATACAACTCGCTGTTTTTATTCAAGAACATATATAGATTCGTTCTGTTAAGGATTATCGGACAAATCGTATGAAAGTGATAAAACCTGTGTATTGGTAATTTTTCTGTTATTATTCAGCGAACAGCGTACTGTGAGTCTGTGACACTGCTGTGCATCCATCCGTCTGAATACCCTATTGGCGAATACAGACAGGGACTTTTTTTTTCTACTAGTCGAGAAAATCTTATATTTATCACGACTCGAGATTACCATGCAACCGCGCACGGCTCTTCTAATCGGAAATGGCTTCAAAAATTGGAAATCAGCAATGATAGTTAATGACACACATCACTATTCTTATATCTCCGACTATATGATACAGGCGGAGTACACTAATGAACGTTTTAATTGTATTGAATGATTACTGAGAAAAATGACTTTTAATGTGAATAGTCGGCGTAATTAACGGCTTGCGCGGAGCTTCTAGCAGTAACCAAAAACTATATATTAAAAAGAAAAGTTCAAGCTCCTCGTTGTTAGCAACGTATCTGTATGATCCAGTGAGATGACGACACGGGATGCAATTTTTGATATCACAGTTAGTATCCACCAACAACAAAGAACATACACTATCTATAAATAAAATATTATAATATAGTACCCGTCTACCCGATCATAGTAGTCTCTCAGTCTGTCGACGACGCGGTCTATCTTTAAATAGCGTACCTCTTTGTTCATAATTTTCAGAAGTTGCAAGCATAAAAACAATTGCAATCTTTTTTGAAGAATTATATGCTCCCATAAATAAACAAGTCTTGATCAGATCATATAGTGTAACAATTCAGCCGAGCTCGGGAACAGATTTTGAACATACACCATATATATATGCAATCATGCTTGGCTCTAATATACACATCAAGTCGGTTGTCGTCGGGCTTCTCAGCACCGCCACAAGGCAAGCGTACGGTGCTGTGGCTCTGTCTCAGGTTATGGCGCGATGGGACTTTAACGGTTTTGACAAGTGGGCAGATACGGACATTGGTGTCGGATTCGATGCCTCAGATAAGGGTTGTTTTGGCAATGTGCGACACTCAAAGCTGTGTTCATCAAACTACCCCGCCAACAACCGGGTCGTGCCAAACCCTGAAGCAGCTGGCGAAAACGTAATGGAGATCCTATACCAGGGTGGTAAATATGGCACAGACAAAAACCATGGCGCAGGTTTCTACACGGAACAACTACAAGGTCAAGAATCTGAAGCTGCAGTCCTAGAATACCAAGTGTACTTCCCACGTGGGTTTGATTTCGTCCTGGGAGGCAAATTGGTATGTAAAAGCACATTTCCCTGTATTAGTATCGTCCTATCCGATCGAATTTAAAAAAAATCGTGCTCGACGATCAGACGCCCCACGAAGTAACAGTCATATTCATCACGATGAGCGACATTTAGAGGGTTTGCAAAATGATCAACGTCACGTGTACAGTATATGACGGCTATAAATTGGCAATTGTAAACTCGGTAACTTGGCATACATGCCTCTAAAATCGTTAAATAACTAGTATAGCATTGCAATCAGGCGCAAGTCATTTTTCAGAACGGTTAGCTTACGACAAAAGTACAACGAACTCACAGTTATCTTTATATATTTTTCTTGTGCAGCCGGGACTATATGGTGGAGGCAAAACTTGTAGTGGCTTGCGGCCAGCAGATGGTGAGAACTGCTTTAGCAGTCGCCTAATGTGGCGCGAAAACGGCATGGGCGAGTCATACATGTACATCCCCACACTAGAACAGACCGATGATTTCTGCTCCCGATGCCACAACATGAAAGATAAGTGTGAGTCAGAGCATCCGGTATGCTCACTCGAGCGAGGCAAATTCACATTCCAAACGGGAAGATGGACCACTGTGCGTCAACATGTTCAGCTCAACGACGCCGACGAGCAGAACGGCTTGTATCAGTTATATATTAACGATATTTTGATCTCAGAAGAAAAGAGCATCAGGTACCGTACTACAAATGAGCTTACAATAGGGGGTATGTTTTTCTCCACATTCTTTGGCGGAGGCTCCGAAAAGTATGCTCCCCAGGACGATCAGAAAGCATTCTTCAGGGGATTCAGGCTATACAACGGTTTTGCATAATAGTATTACCGCAGACCACTCATAAGCAAGAGACAATCTCACATGCCGCTTCTCATAGTACAGAAATAGATTGGTTCTCGTGACAACCATTATCAAACCCAAATTCAGAATCGAACAGCAAAATACAGAATGCATCCCACTAAACACCCAACATCATATCTTGTCAATGTATTGTATACTGGTAAAGGAGCGTAGACTAGGCATGGCTGCATAGTTTCCGTCATTGTGTGGGAGTAGCACTCAAATTAGAGATTTTTTAATATATAAACAAATAAACAACCAAATTTAAAAGCACATAATTTGTAACAATCGTGCGATGTGCAATTGTGAAGTACGGACATGCACACTGCTTTGCATTTAGTTTGCATTCATTCTACTGTGTGATCAATGTAAATATTTAAAAAGTTACCATCTGTTGTCACCATATCAATTACAAACCAGGCTTCTAGTTGACCAAATGGGCAGCAGAAAAAAACCCAAACATTAACAATGAACGAAAAATATATCAAAAAACATTAAACTTTATGTACGAGATTTGAATACGATAAAGAAATACAATGTAAATATACGCAGGGCTAAAGAATTATAGCTAGACAAGAGAAGACATGTAATTAAATACATGTACAAAACATAGCATATATATCAAGATATGTATGTTAAAGTATTAAATGATAAACATATATAAATATAAACATATATATAAAAATGCATACACCAATATACATGTTACAAGATTAAACAATGTCTACACAAACATGTAT